TAGACGCGCGACCAAAAAAATGCGTCAGATCAGGCAAGGAGAGAGAGGGGCGGGGGGGGGTCGTGCGTGCTTCCAGATGTGAGTCGGGACGACGCGGCGCGACGATCGGCCCCGCTGCTGCACATGCTGCAAGGTGCACCATCCGCGAAAAGAAAATCCTTCTGACTGAACGCGCGTGTGTCCGAAACCGTCACAGCACGTGGACTGCATGGCGCAAGAGCCCGGCGCGAATATTACACACCCTGGTCTTGCGCTGCTTTTGCAAATCTTTTAGAAGATTTTGTTTGTAAAAAATAAAAATGCGGGAAAGGTGTGATATATTCTGCGTATCACAAAAGAGGGTATGAGTTAGTGCACACCACGAACGGTAACGTTTTAAAGGCTCAAAATCCAGACAGGCGCGGTTTTATGGGGGGCGAAGGGGCGATCTCCCCCCCCCCTCCCCGTCGACCCAAATCGCCCCCCTGGGGTGGATAGGCAATTTGTCTGACAAAACCCCTGAAAGTAGGCAACCCACCGCAAATCGCCCCCTCTATCAGACGGACTTAAAACCGCGCCTGAATCCAGAGCAGTGTGCGTTGTGCGTGTACCTCTCCAGTTTTACAGAACAGTGATACTGTTCCCCTCCACCCTCCGGCCGTCGCCCAAACTAGTGCCGTGCGCAGCTGTAAGTTTCCTCGAATTGAATGGTTCCCTCGTCGGCCCCACTTTTCTAAGTACTGTACGTCCAGTCGCCTGGAAGTAGAAAATACGCCTTTTGCTAAAAGTGAGAATGCATATGAGGCACCGCATGGCACAGATGTAAGCTGAATCGCTTTAGGTGAGGGTCGCGATAAGGGGCGGAAGGGAATTCCCCCTTGGATGTGTATACAAGGCAAGAACTACAGAACCCCGTGCGCGGGGTGCTGCTGAACTGACGAACACTTTTGAAAGGCATATTTTGTGGGGGAGAGAATCGATGACAGTTATGTTGAAGCCCGATGGGCGCCATCTGGGAGTGCCCTGCCCCACAACGCTGAAACGAGTGTAGTCTCTTGGTATATCACATGGCGGGTCGTGTGTCATCTTATTTTGTTTTTGAAACGCTGCACTAATGTTAAGGAATGCGGCCTTAGTTCTTGGAGCCCCTTACAGAAACAGGACACATTTCCTTTCTGTCACTTGTTCAGATTCAAGTTTGGCATTATGTATTCAATTTATTAAAAGAGGTGGAAAGGGGGAAGGGGGA